GGTTGTGTTCTTCTGCCATTTCGCCATTAACGATGAGCCACTGATTGGCTACGAGGGCAGCAATCTGTGCGAACAGGTGCTCATCAGTGTGCTGCGCCTGCTAAAGTCCGAGGCGGCCGACTATGGCAAGCACTTGCCCCACTATTTCAGTTTGTTCAGCATGTACGTGGGCCTGGGTACGCGCGAAAAGCAGCAGCTACTGAAGGTACGCACGAATTCGCGATTATAGCGATTATCGATCTTAAATGCTTTCCATTGGTTACATGCAGCTCAATGTGCCGCTGCAGTTCATGCTGGTGGCACTGGACGATGGGCCTGGTCCGTCCATCAAGTACCAGTATCCGGAGTTCAGCAAACTCCATCAAGTGGTGTCGCATCTGGTGCGTTGCAGCGATGTGAGCGACAAGTGCCAGAGCTCCAATCAGACGGGCAGTCCCCAGCCCAATCCACTGCCCAATCCCTTCAAGGACTCCACTGTGGCCCACGAAGAGCTAACGCCGCTGTCCAGCGAGTGCATGGACCTTCTCTTCAACAGAACAGGGTAAGGTCGAAGATCTTTGCCATAACGAATCCAAAATTTCAATCTCATTGTTCTTCAGATACATCAAGAAGGTCATCGAGGACACAAACGTGGGCGATGAGGGTCTGAAGCTGCTCCAGTACTGCAGTTGGGAGAATCCGCACTTCTCGCGGGCCGTCCTCACCGAACTGCTGTGGCAGTGTGGCTTCGCTTACTGCCACGATATGCGCCACCACACGGATCTGCTGCTGAACATCCTGCTGATCGACGACTCGTGGCAGCACCATCGCATCCACAATGCCCTCAATGGCGTGGCCGAGGAACGGGAGGGTCTGCTGGACACGATACAGAGGGCGAAGACGCACTATCAGAAGCGCGCGTATCAAATCATCAAATGCCTGACGCAGCTCTTCCACAAGTCACCGATTGCCCTGCAGATGCTGAACACAAATCCGACCATCACACGGCACTGGAGCATCGCAGTGGAGTGGCTGCAGGACGAGCTGGAGCGGCAGCGGGGCATCGGGTGTCAGTACAACTCGTACTCGTGGTCGCCGCCAGCACAGAGCAACGACAACACCAATGGCTACATGCTGGAGCGATCGCAGTCGGCGAAGAGCACCTGGAACATGGCCTACGAGCTATGCCCGGAGGAGGTAGGCGAGAAGACGGTGAGGATTACTCCATGAAATTATATGTCGCCTTAAACTTGACATTTTTCTAACGAGTTCGCTCTTTGACAGGATCAGGACGAGAATAACGAATCCGATTTGGACTCTAATCTGGATGAGAACAAGCAGGAGGCGGGTCAGCAGCAGCAGCAGCCCACGACTGTACAGACAGAGTCCGGTACGACCGCCACTGATCCGACGCCAGAGAACAAGCCGAATGCCATAATCAACAGTGACCCATCTACGTGGCCGACTCGCATCGAGACCAATCCCATTCCGCGTCTGTCACGCCAGCTCTTTGGGGCCTACACATCGACGGGCGGCAGCAGTCCCTTTGGAACAGTGGCTCCCACTGTCATCAGCTCCGCCACCACCATCAACACTGGGGGAACCACTGGCGGCACCACTGGAGGCGGCACGACGACTGGCAGCGGGGCGAACAGCGAAACGGAGAGCAGTGCCCAGGAGACGACCACAGTGGATACCACAGCGAACATAAACGGGCTGACCAACAGTCTGGATCACATGGAGATATCATCAGTGAAGAAGGTACGCGAAACTGGCGGGGAGGATGGCTAGAGATAGCCAAGTAGTGTGTCCCCCCACGTCCCCCATTCCCATGGATTGTCTCCTGCCAGACAGCAGCCCCACCATAAACAGAAACAGAAACACCAAAACATACACAGGACACAAAGGATACACTCGACACTCTCCCCATCAGCTACTTCTCTGACTATTTCCCGTCCTTTCTCTCTCTCTCTCTGTTTCTCTATGTTTATCCACACACACACACACATGGTCTAACTGTCTTCTAATTCTTCTCTATATATTTTTGTCACCCATTTGCGGTGTTTCATTGTTTGATTTGTGGTTGTTCCCTTTCGCCCCTTCAAACAAACACAAAAATCCGTGTCCGGTAACTGTAGGGCTTGCGCAATCGCACCACAGCCACGAAGGGGGGAAAGCTGCCACCAGTGATTTTTCCACATCATCATCATCATCAGCAGGTGACGAGTGCGGAGGTGCCACAACATCCGCAGCAGCAGCAACATCCGCAACAGAAACTGAAACTACAGTCACATCAACCACATCAACAACCACAACTCCAACTACAGCTACAACCCAAACAACAACAACAACTATTGCAACAACAACAACTACAACAACAACAGCAGCAACAGCAACAACAACTACGTGGTGATATTAGCAAGAATTCCTCCAGCCGCTTAATTTAATTTGCCGCCAAGTTAGTTTAGATTCGTTTGTTAGTTTGTGTTTAATCGAAACCCCCCACCCGAATCGAGCCACCCCCCACACACATTTTATGTTTAATATTCTGCTGCGGATGGTGTCCCATTCCGTGCCCCCACCATTTGCTTTTCTTTTATGTTCTGCCACTGCAAGCTTCCTCAAATCACCTCCCACAAACACAACACCGCCACAAGTCACAAACCACACAGATACTACATTCAAATAGGTCCAATATATAGATGATATATCAAAGATTATAGACCACACAGAGATGATGCATGATGCATGTGATTTAAAAACTAAACGACTTGCTAGTTCAGTACCAGACTTTAGAATGAAAGTATGTTGTAGCGTAGTAGTAGCAAGAAATTCGGAATTCAGCGTCCCATGTGTTCTATAATCTTTGATGCTAAACTAATCCCGTATCCGTTATACAATTACCTGTTTTGCTAACACACTCTAGAGTGAAGTTAAGTGCAATAATTACTGCTTACTTGGCACACATGCGCCGACACGCTGATGACGTAGCACCCTAGTAGAAAGTAGTGAATGCCCCACCCTCTGGTTAATCTCCATTGCTAATACATTCATTCCTCTTTGATTTCCACAGAAATATCGCAGGAAAGAAAGGACAAGAAAGCCAGAGGAAAATAATTATGAAACGGCAGAGGAGTCGTCGGCGCCTGAGACAACAGCAGTCCCAGAACTCCCAACTACAGAGGTCACAAAACCCAAGGCTGCAGCCGTCACAGGAGCAGCGGATACGGCAGCCACAATCAACAGCAGTAGCAGCAGCACGCCCACAATAGCGATAACAGCGCCCACGAGCAGCAGCGGCGGCACAGCGTCATAAACGGGAGCGGGGCTAGAGAAAAACTATATTTGAAAAGCAGAGATTTAAAAACGTTAGGAAATGAAAGAATTGAAAACCAAGAAAACCGAAGAGTTCTTTGCAATAAAACACATGTAATCGCAGTAATAACAACAGAGTAGCAAGAGAGCATCAACTTAGGAGGAGGAGCATCCGTAGCGTTAAGTGAACCAAAAGCAGCCTGACAATTCAAACGGTGCGGGTGTGTTATATTAGTGTGGAGCTCCCGCCGTTGAAAACGAGACTTAAGTGGGGTTAATATATATACGATCACACACACACACACAAACACACAATTATAGAGCGAAATGCGTAGATATTAACAGAACAAAACAGATTAAGGGCTGATGAAGCAGTGCATATATTACTCGTAATCGTCTGATCGATGCGAGAGTCCAGACACGCAGCGAAGCGCAGTGCAGATCAACGCGGAAGGAAGGTGTTTACTAGTTATCGAACTTATTAATTACCTTTCACCACAACAGCTACACAACAGATATAGATACTACAGATACTGCAGATACGATACAGACACACAAACACACCTTGAACACACACACAAAACAACACACGCGAGACATACATAAAAACAAAGAAAGAAATAAACAAGCAAAACACCCCACAACACACTCATAAATACTAAGATGCGTTAAGTTGCACGTTTACAGTACCATATAATTGTATTTATATAGTATATAAAATGATGTATTACGTATTGAAGCCGAGGCAACCCTTAAACCTTAATACTAATCCAAAACAAAAGAAAAGAAAAATCAAAAACAATAATAATGAATACATATAATAATAATAATAATTAAATTACAATACAGTCTAGGGGAAACAAAGCAAAATAAAACACCATGAAATCGGCTGATTGTAAGAAGAATTAGGGCAAGAAACCAAATTGCATCCATCGTACTCTCTCATACTCTCACTCTCGCCTGAAAACTGAAACTGAACACTGAACTCTGTTTCCATAATCATATTTCAATCGCGTAACTCAAGTAAAATGGGATGCTACTCGTAAAATAAATCAAAAATGAAAAAAAAAACAACAAAAAATCAGTATAAACTCAAGAGCAAAATGGACTAAACTAAAGCGAAACGAGCGTAAAGAAACAAAACAAAAACAAAAAACAACTTGATTCTGTTTATACTAAGTATAATATATATATATTTTTAATTGATTAGTGTTTTGTATTAAGTTAAGTGAAATTTGTTAAACATTTATTAAATTATTATGTTTTAAGTTGCAAAAAATAAAAGCGAAATGTAAGCAGACACACATCGCATTTCTCAGTTCTCGTCATCGTGTATTTGTTTATCGTACTCGTATTCGTTTACCCAACCCAGCATAAATCGAAAAATTATGTACGGAACTCTATTTTAAATTATGTATTCATAAACAAAATGCATGCTAAAAAGCACATTTAAGAAATGTGTGTGTTCGAGAAAACTGAATAAAACCGTATACATCCAAACCATTAAACTTTAACAAAATTGACAAAACAAATAAAACAATTTTTTTAAATACATAACCCCAAACTCTTGGTTCTTTAGATAAAACACCATTGGGGCACGTACGTCCTTGCTGCCATCGCTCCCACATCACATGTTGCATTGATGCTGGATTCGAACAACATACATGTCGTGTACATGACCATCGATGGCAGCCAAAAATTAAAAGCCCACCGCTCCTCAGTCTCTAATCAATGGTAGTTAATTATTGAATTAAAACATTTAAAATGCCATTGAACACAACATACAACAAGAGTCCATTAAATGGACTATGGCTTAACTCTAATAAATGCACACAAAAGAACACAGAATATATAGAAACTTGTAGATAAATGCAACTGAATCCCTGGTACGTTAGTGGAGGAGTAGCACTAGTTGGCAGCCACCTCTTCATCCACGAAGGTAATCACAGCCGCTCCCTTGGCCACATTGTCGCCTTCGGCGCCGCCAATTGATTTGATGGTCGCATCCTTTGGAGCCTTCAAGATGTGCTCCATTTTCATGGCTGGCAGAAACAAAGCAATAACAATAATAAAACAAAATCTAAAGAACAGATGTAACACGCACCTATAAGCACAGCCAGGCTGTCGCCCTTCTTGACTTGATCGCCTGGCTTAACCAGCACCTTCTCCAGAACTCCAGGCATGGGCGCCACCACTCTAGAGCCTCCGGCGTTCAACTGATCGACCTGAGCGGTCAAAAACTTTGGCTGCACCAGCTCAAAGTCGAGTTTCCCTCTCTATAAGAATATTAGAACATGAATAATATTTAATGAGCCTTTCTGTGGTTATGTTTGGTGCAGCCTACCTCGAGGAACAGGCTCAAACTTGCCCCATCAATGTTCGCATTATAAGTGGAGATGTTGTTGTCGATATTGGCACGAATCTTTAGCCGTCCGACATCCTGCACTCTCTCAGCCTTGATGGTCTGCCAGGTGCCTTTGTCTACGCGAATCTGCAGCTCCTCTCCATCATACTTGACATCAACCGAGTAGACTGTAGATAAGGAATTCAGAATATTATCTTGCTAGATGATCTTTCCACACATTTTGCCTACCTTTGTCATTGGATTTTAGATTATAGTTTCGGATCAAGGCATAGTTAAGACGAGCATTCGGCGTGGCGGCAAATGGGTCCTTGCCGCCGCTGCTATTGCTGACAGATGCCTGCAGTTCATTGAACACCAAGGCAATCGCTGCTTGGCTCACTTGCTGCTGGCTGATGGAAATCGGTGGGAAGAGCGTGTCAAAGTGCTGCTCGATGAAGCCCGTGTGGACGTTGGCCAGCTGGAACTCGGGATGCGAGGCAAGATCGATCAGGAAGTTGATGTTCGTATCCAGACCAGAAATCTTGAGCATGGGTTAAATCAATCAATCAATAATTTTTTAGAAAATTCTCCTCTTTTTTAGATGGACTTACATGGTACTCTCCCAGTCGGGCAATCAGCGAATTCAGAGCCTGTGAGCGGCTTTCGCCCCAGACGACAAGCTTGGCAATCATGGGGTCATAGTGAATGGACACCTCGTCGCCCTCTCGGACACCAGTTTCGACGCGCACCTCGGCACTGGGCCGTGGCGTGGACAGGTAGCGCAGTGGTCCGGCACCTGGCAGGAAACCACCGCGGGGATTCTCAGCATAGATGCGGGCCTCGAAGGCATGTCCGGTGCGTGTGATCTGCGACTGCTTCAGTGGCAAGGGCTCGCCGGCGGCAATGCGAATCTGCCACTCGACGAGATCTGTTCCTGTGATCATCTCGGAAATTGGATGTTCTACCTGCAGGCGGGTGTTCATTTCCATAAAGTGGAAGGAGAGGTCTTCCTTGTCCAGAATAAACTCAACAGTTCCAGCACCCACATATCCCACAGCCTTGGCAGCACGCACAGCGGCCTCGCCCAGCTCGCGACGCAGTTCCTCCGACAGGCCAGGCTGCAAAACAAGAAGGGAATCAATTATTGATCCTATTGAATACTTCTCGGCTGACTTACCGCTGGCGCTTCTTCGATGATCTTCTGATGGCGTCGCTGCACAGAGCAGTCCCGCTCCCAGAGGTAGACAGCATCGCCGTACTGATCGGCAAACACCTGAACCTCCACATGTCGGGGCGATCGCACATAGCGCTCAAGAAGCACTGAACTGTCCCCAAAGGACTTTTGCGATTCATTGCGCGCCGAGTTGAGGGCCGTAAGAAAGTCCTCTGGCTTCTCGGCAATTCTCATTCCCTTCCCCCCGCCGCCGCGTACCGCCTTGATCATCAGCGGGAAGCCAATAATTTTGGCCTCTGCCTGCAGGCACTCATCGGACTGATCCGCGCCGTGGTAGCCATTGATAATGGGAACTCCGGCGGCGTCCATTATCGCCTTGCTGGTACTCTTGATGCCCATGTCACGAATGGCAGAGCTTGGAGGACCCATGAAGATGACTCCCTCGCGTTGGCATTGCTCGGCAAACTCTACTGATTCGGAGAGGAAGCCATAGCCCGGATGAATCGCCTGGGCACCAGATCGCTTTGCAATCTCTAGGATGTGGTCGCCACGCAGGTACGAGGCAGACGACGCTGCCTCCCCCACGCGATACGCCTCATCCGCCAGCTGGGTGTGCAAACTCTTCTCATCCGGATCGGAAAATACAGCAACAGTGCGAACTCCCAACTTTCGAGCAGTGCGAATCACACGGCAGGCGATCTCGCCCCGATTGGATATCAGAATCTTGTTGATTGGTCGAATTTTCGGGGCGGCGGCATTGGCTTCTGTGGCAAAGCACCTGCAGGAACAACAACAAACATCAATCAAATTAATGTTTATGTAATCAGAAGGTTTGCATGCCAAATGTTGATTCTATAGAACCACTGAGTTTTGAGTATACCTTGCATTTGCGCCAACGCTGCGCAAAAGTCTCGCATACATTGTTTCTGTTCTTAAATATGTAGATCTGTTTTAATTCACAAAATTATATGCGGTTCCACTTGTTATCACAACGCGTTATCGGGATCGAAGGGTTAACAACAGGCTGGCATCACCATGAAACAATTATCCCATTGCCAGCCAGTGGGTACTTCGACGTACGCACGAATATTATGAAAGTTGAACATTTTTTACGCAATTCGGGTCAAAGATATCATGCTCATATTTGTTTTGTAAGTAAAGAGGAAGGATAGATCTATAAGAATAATATACAAGCATTATTATTTTCCGCGGCTTAATTGAAGGGTTTTCACTTTTTAAATAGAGGGGGGTTGAGTGGGCTAAGTCCTTTGGTATTTTTACGGTATATTTTGAAAAGAGAAAGTATATTTCGGTATATTTCTGAGCGTCAGTCACACTGATCAGCGCCTCGACCGGGCATTATATTGCAGTTTTTTTAAGCATTTAGTTTAAAAAACGTCAAGTAAAACTTTAGAAACACACACATTTTAGAACATTTACATTAATACGAATTGTTGTAGGCTTATGGAGAAGCGCGTCACAATCCTGCTGCCCAACGGCAGGCGCCAGAATGTGAGCGTGACGGCTAACATGACGCTGCTGGAGATTCTGGAGACGGCCTGCACCAAGCATGGCTACGACAGCGAGGAGCACTGCCTGAAGTTTCACAACAAGAACGTGTCCCTCACGCAACAGTTTCGTTTCAGCGGCTTGCCCAACAATTGCGTGCTGGAAATGGAGCCCACGGAGAAGCGTCGCATCGTCAGCACCGTTGTGGTCTGCATTCAGCTGAGCGACGGATCCCGTGAGCAGGGCGAGTTTGCCCCCAATGACACTCTTTGGCAGGTGGTCCAAAAGCTATGTGGACGGCAGGTGACAACCTTCGAGAGTCCCATCATCATCTATATGCGCAGCGAGGTGATCGGGCAGCAAAATATGGAGCAGACGACGCTCAAGTCGCTGGGCATACTGGAGGGACGCGCCATGATGCGATTGATTGACAAGAAGCCAGAGGAGCTGAAGACCCAGGCCAATGTATACAAGCCGCCGGAGATACAGGCCAAGTCAAAGGGCGACGACGAGCAGCCCAGCACCTCGCGCTCGGCAATGGGCACCAGTGGGGCAGGTGGTGGCGGCTTTGCCCTAACCAGCAACATGATTAAGTCCCTGAAGCGCACGGCTCCAGAGGGAAATGCAGATGCCCAGAATGATGAAGAAATGTCCACCGAAAGGGACGAGCAGCCAGAAGCTCCAAAATATGATTGGGGCAGTGGCTCCGGCTACTCGCTACATAACGCTGGCGCAAAGCCAATGCAGATGGATAATGATGCTGATGATAGTCCAGGACGCGCTCCGCCAGTAGTGAACGTAATTGGACCTCGCCAGGCTGTGCTCTTCTCCCTAGATGCCACCCAGAAGCAGTCCGATGAGCTGCCCGACTCGTTCTTTGACTTGACAGTGAACGACCTCAAGATGGTGCTGCGTGACCTGAAGCGCACCTCCGCGGGCGACGATGACGCTCCTCTTTTGACTGCCAAGCTACGCGAACTGGAGCGCCAGAAGACCATGCTGGCAAAATTGAACCAATACAAGGACTGTGTGCTGCGCATTCAGTTCCCCGATCGCTTCGTGCTCCAAGGCATGTTTAAGCCCCATGAAACGCTGGCCAAGGTGGAGGACTTTGTGCGAGAGTTCCTGGTCAATCCCAGCGAGCAGTTCAATCTCTTTACCATACCACCGAAGAAGGTGCTGCCGTCGAGCGAGACGCTGCTGGAGCTCAACTGTGTACCCAATGCTGTGGTACACTTTGGCTTCCTCAAGGATGCCCTCAATACGGAGAATCATCGTTTTGTGCTGGAGAAGTTCGTGGATCAGCTGACCTCCGAGGAGGGGGCACACTATGCCGTGCAGAAGTACCGCTGCACACGGGTCACGGTCAGCGCTAGTTCATAGTTCAAGCAACGCCAACAACAGATACAAAACGCTATAAGCAAACATTCTGCGTGATATTAAATGAATCCGCTTTATTTCTATCAAGATTCTAGTTCCGTATGCAGGGTGTTAAGAATAACTGAGGAATTTCACTGACCCATTTGGTAAACACTAAGAAAGGAGAGACAGTCAGTCAGGAGGAGAGTAGGTCTTTAAAACTAGTGCCCTACCGTATTTGGAGCCAACTATCACTGGGCAGCCTCCGTGCATTGCTTTGACATTCATTCCACCAGCGTTCTCCAAGTTGTACCATAAGAGAGCAGATCCCTTCGTGGGCGGGACAGACACATTGATGTAGGGAAATGTTGTGGCACCGCCATAGTCCACATCGCCCACCTATAGCAAAGAGAGATTTGGTTACGCCAGAGCTCAGCACTCGAGAAAAACCTACATAAGTGAGAACAGTGGCTAAGCGGTCGCCAAGGAGAATTCGATTCTGCTCGCTGTAGTTGTGGCCATCGTAGTGCAGGTCATAGTGCCCGCCCATGCCATAATTGATGAGTGTTAGAGCTTCGCTGTCCATCATACTCAAGCCGGTCATGTCCATCAACCGCCTGTGGATAGTATTGGCCACTGCTGCATCCTCATATTCAACGAAATGCTGTTCCTTTGAGGTTCGAATGGGGGAGTACTGATACTGACCCACCATAGATGCCATCAGCTGTGTGTGATCCAGCAGCCAATCGATTTCGCTCTCGTAGACAACATCGTGGAAAAGCACCATGTACGGGTCGTGGCTCAGCTCCTCCATCTTCAGTGGAGCAATGCGCGCAAAGGCTGTCGTGGAGCTGTTGTAGCGACAGTGCAGATGGGCTGGAGCTCTGAAGACAGCACTGCAGCCCCGCTTGTACGCCATTTTATCATCATAGTGTCTCTTAACATCCCTGAAAAACTTATCCTCCTCCCCTTCGGTGTTTAGGTGTGCCATGCCGGCAGTTTCCTGCTGACTTTTCATGAGCAGCATGCCCCAAGAGTAGTGAATTCTTCTTCGGCTGAAGCCAAGGACGGCATACTCAAGCCTGTCCTCGTATCTTTCCAATGAGGCATTGAACCAAGCCTCTGCCCGCCTATCATTCCGTTCGGTTCTACAGTACTTTCCCAATGCATAGCAGTCCAGGGGGGACAAGGCGGTGGCGGGCTGCGAGTCTACAGCGACTAGAGTACCAGCGGCTAAATCTTCCGGCTGCAGTTCGTAGATATCCACTAGGCTATCGATGCCACGACAGGCCTCTTCCAAGTCCAAGGCAGTGGGTAGAAGCATTCGCATACGATGAGCATGCTTAATGTGTCCTACAAAGAGTATTTATTCTTTCATTTATGGATTAGTCCCTTGCTGTGCCCTTCATACCTCTTTCATTTTGCTGGGACTCTGAAGAGTAACGCACCAGTTGCTCCCAACCTCGATGTAGGCGATGTATAAGCCCAAAACTGTTCAGGGGATTCCCCAGGTATGCCTCGTAGTCTGTTTTCATGTGGCTCTCCCCCGCTCGCATGCTGCTCAACGCTCTGGAAGGAGTTTCGATTTAAGTTTAAAGGTACACCACAGAACTTTTCCTCACTGACTGATTCACTAGTTGGTGTTTATACTTCAGCTTGGCCACGTAGCTCCTTAGGTTTCGCACTAGCTCATCCTCTACCCGCAGCAGCTTCATCAGTGCCACTGTCGAGCAGGCGTATGACTTCTCGTGAGCCGTATTTGCGGTTGCATTTTCACAAATCAAACAAAAAGCAAACAGGCTTGTGGATATAATGATGGATAAACTTAAAGCACACATTTTACGAACGTAATCCAGCCTAGAGTGAGGGATCTTCTTTAGTTCGAATGAGGAATATTCTTCAGTTCATTATATGGAACATTTATAGTGTTTCAAAACAGTTCGTCACGGTCAACTGCAGCGGATCGTTTACTCAGAGCATCTTTGGGGGCTATAGAGTTCCAAGCACCCTGTAGTATCCACTGAACGGCAACTAAATGGGGGAAAAATGTTAAGAACGAAGGACGAAGTCCTGAACGAATTGAACAGCTTACCCCATTTGTAGCCCTGCAGAACTGGACAAGCGGCATGCTGCGTACGAGGATCGCCCTCGCCCCATGCTCTTAAATTATGCCACATCAAAGCAGATCCTTTTTTTGGCTGTATTACCAATTGTAGTTTGGGGAAAACTGTTGCCCCGCCATCTGCCACATTGTTTAGCTGATTATGTGAAAGGGTTTCGAAGGGAAATACATGTTTTTGTGTATAGAAAATAATCAGAATCTACTCACATAGAATATTACGGAGGATTCTCGATCTCCAAATATATGATACTCGTACTCATTCGGATGCTAAAAAAACTACAGAAATTAAAACGAAGAAAAGATAAAATATAGATTCAATTCATACCCAATACAAATCATGATAATCCAAATGGAGATCATGATGCCCGCCCAGATCGTAGAGTACCACGTTAAGGAGCTCTGACCTCACTATATCAGAGCCAGTCATATCCTTAACACGATCGTGGATGCGTTGCAATAGCTGTGGATCATTCTTGTCCGTGAAGGGAGCTTCATTAGAGGTGCGCTTATCTGATATTTCGATCTGACGGACTTCGTACTGCACCATGGAGCGGCTCATTCTGCGGCGTGTCGAAACGATCAGACCCTGCATTTCCGAGTCGTATAGAACATCATGATATATCACTACATAGGGATCGTGGCTTAATATTTCCAGTTTCAATGGTGCCAGCCTCGAGAAGGCAGACCCCTCGTTGCGGTACCGACAGTGGAGACTCGGGTGATGGAACCTTATCGAAAATGCACCACGACATCCATCGAAATAAGTTCGTCGTTCCAGCACAGACTTTGCGGGGTCTACAATTTGTGAATCGTGTGGTGCCAGGTCATACGCCCTGGCTATCAAATTGAAGGCATCTCCATCTGCTGGGTTTTGAGCGTACTTTGCTGCTCCTAGATGATACAACAGATGCTCGTGCTGCGAGTCCTTGTAAATAGATCTGTACTTTTTCGATTCGCCAGAAGCTGTGTAAAGCTTCAGGGATAACTTCAGCCAGTCCTCTGCATATTGATGATTCTTCAGATGTGCCAGATATTTTCCCAGTGCCAGGCAGTCCCTTGAATTTAATGTCCGGCTGTGGGGAAGAAATGCAGACCAGGGTGTGTGTACAATCTACTGAATATTACTTACAAATATTGGTCTTGGGGTTTTAAATTGTAAATAATTTGCAGCTTATGAACATCTTTAGCTGTTTGGATGAAATCTTCTCTTTTGGGCAATCTTTGACGCAGTTCTTTTGCCATTCTAATTTGGACTAGAAGAAAAATGTTGCTCTTTACACCAGTTTTCAATATAATGACTAGATAATCACCTGTTCCTCCTTCTGTGGCCTTGAGATACTCCATCCACTTGGGCCAATCTTCATGGAGACGCCGTATTAGTGCCATGGCCCGTTGTGGAACCGACAAATGCACCTCAAAGTCATGATGCTCGCTGACGCTCTCCGCCCGCAATTGATGAAGGGATCTGTAAGAATTATTGGATATCTACGTAAAATATAGAAAATATATTAGCTCCACTAACTGTTCAATCATTTGATGTCTCTTCCTTAGCTCATTGACATAATGCTTTAAATTTTCTATTAGCAGCTCTTCCGTTTGCTCCAGTTTCAGCTGATTCCACACCGAGCCAAGGAACACCGCTTGGGCCAGCAGAAAGACCACAATCTTCAGACCGAATCCACTCATCTGGCAAAACAAAATGCGTCCACAAATCCCCCAAATGAGCCATGAAAAACTTTAGATTCGCCATGCCCTGATATCTGATTACAATTCGTTTTACAGTTATAAAGCTCGGCCAGGCCAGTGCTGCAAAGCGCAAGCAGTTTCTTGGCTTGCTCACCATTGCAACGCTAAATTGAGCCGAGTGTCGTTATTTGGCTTATTTGGTGTTAACTTGGCTTATTCGAAAAGTACGGCTCAAGCAACAAGTTTGCACCTCGCGCAGATCGTGGTTCGTTGATCGTGGAACGTCTGTTGTACGTATTGTACGTTGCAAGTTCGTTTCGTATCGTATCGTTTCGCTTTGGCAACCAATACAATCTAGATTTTATTTAAAACAACTTGCCAAGACAAGGCTAGCACCCTCGAAGCCAGCAAAGAATGCCGTCTGGGCCATTAATATTAAAAGTGCATCATTCAAAAGTGAATAATTTGATTGGCATTGATCAAATTTAATTCAATCAGTGCTAAGTGTTTGCGGGAATTTCAAATTGCGCTAATTTCGGGTTGAAAAATGAACACAGGCCGCCGAGTTAACGAAATTAAAGCATATCGAAAACAACTTTTACCAATGCGTTTTTGTTGTTTCTTTATGTTTTTCTACTGGTTTCAAAACGCAGAACTGCCGCCCGCCTCCATTCGCTGGTGTTGGACGTGCCAAGCCAACGTTTTTGCTGCGGTTGGGGACTGTTGGAGTGTTTTATTTTTTTGGGGGCGTGGCTGGCAGTTGGGTTGGCATGTGCGACAGTGACAATACTTTGGGGCAGCAGCAGCCAGCCAGGCAGCTAGCAAACAAGAGACAGCCGAGAAAATTATGGAGCGCTGACCAACAAACCAAACCGATCCAATCCGATGCGGAGTCAGTTGAAGCAAGCGAGCGTCGTCAAGTGATAGCAATTGGAAAGTTGTTGTTATGCTCAAGAGAGCAAAGCAATGAAGGAGCCGAGCCGCCAGTCCGAATACCAGACCACTGCCCGATAATATCAAAACATGTGCTAAAATGCTACAAGTTTCATTCATGTTGGATATCCTATTCTGTCGCCTGACACACCACCAAGCCAACAAAATGGTCATCCTTTTTAATTAAAGGTGCCCTGCTTTCAGGAAGGATTTCACAATTTGGAATATGTCACACATGTCCATTAATGGAACGTGTAGAATTCCCTCTGCTTGCGCGATGTGTAATTCTTATAAGGTGAGGCATTGCCTCATACCTCCCGTTCGAAGTCTAACGAAAGTAAGAGTTGTCCTTGGCAATGTCTCACCTTATTTCTAACACACCTTGGCTCTTCTGCCTACGCATAGGAGCGCGCTCTTATCGCCGCATCTCCATCATCTCAGCCCGCCTCTACTCATGTCGACTCGTTCCGCCTCCCGGCACCGCCTAGTTCCTCTTCACTTTTACTTCTTCGGCAAACGGAAAGAGAGAGTGTTTACCTGGCTACCCCGCTCATTTGCGTGTGTCTTCTTCTGCTTTACCGGTTTATACGTGTATTTGTGCTTTTTCTTCGGTTTTTTGCTTTCGTTCATGCGCGCGTGCCTGTAAAAATAATTGATAATAACAATAAGTTCATTAAATTTAATTAAACCAACTATGCACTTCCGATCTGCGGCACGGGTCGCCAACCCAACAACAACAACAACAACAAACCAAACTCAACAGTAATAATTATAATAATAGATAAACGTTTATTACGTTTTCCACAAACCAACAGATCACAGTGTAGTGTGCATATATGTGTGTGTATTTGTATGAGGAAAATATAAAGAAAAGCATAATAAAGACACAAAAATTACACGCCTCTACGCATCCGAAGTAAATAAATAAAAACAAATCATCTCTGCCCAACGAAAATCGCCAACAAAATTCCGGCATTAAAAGAGCTGCAAAGATGAATTTCTTTGTGATTGGCTTTCTGATCATGCAGGCGGCAAGTGAGTAAAGTGCAGTGTTTTTTCCCCATTTCATTTCATTTCATTTGCTTTTTGTTATTAATTGCTATTTTTCCGTTGTGGTTTTGGTTTTTCTTTTCGGTGGAAGTTTAATTGCTTTACACGGGTGTCTGTTCGGGTTTTAATTTGATTCGGCTGGAACAAATGACTTAAGCGACAAACTCATTTCTTTTTTCGGGCTTCAATCAAGCTTGTGTCTCAAGTCTTGAGTTAAGCGCTTGTGGCATGTGTGGCACATGGCTGCATGCTGTAATCATGGTTAACAGTAGATCCCAACGAATGCTGTGGAACAGGTTGTTGGCCGCATTTTTAATTGGGGAAATACATCCCCCCTCCATGCAAAAACTGGCACCAAAGAGCCAAAGAGATAGTTGATAGATGGCCTACACTTTTGACTTTGTTTGTGTATATGTACAATAAACGCGTCTTTGTTGCAGTTTATTGGCGCCCCTTTTTATTATACATACATTCGGATTCGGATTCGGTTTTGGCTTCGGTTTCTTCTTTTGTCTTTTGGCTTCTGTGCGCCTCAATGCAAAACCTTGCAAATGAGATGGCAAATGAAACCGGATTGGTTTTTGGTTAGTCATGGAGTAGTATTCTTGACCCGAAGTAATTTCTGTGCAACTCATTAAGAACACAACATAATCGCAGAGTACAGAGTACACTCCCCAGGTGGCCTCCATCCAGTATGTAAATGGTTGCTGCTGTCCCATTAATCAATTTGCTAAAAATCTGTTAAACATAAATAATGCTCGCTTAACCTTCTCTTCCGTTTGGGATTGATTTGATGAACGATGCGATGGACATGGGTCTGGTGGTTTTTCGCATGTCAGAATATCGGTCAAGTTCAGATATCTCTGACCAACTAGAGCAGCGGCCACTGACCGTGCAAAGCTGTGTGTTCCATGCACGCACACATGCCATAGTTTTTTGGTGTTAATTTCGGCAATTTTCATTGCCTAATTTGCATAAACTTTATGTTTTGCTGACCTTTTGCCTGCCAAAGAAGTGAACCATAGAGCCAGGGACAGGAACTGAAGCTGTGATGACTCTCCCAGCTAAATATTTATCGACAGTGTCCGGGCCCTGCCCAAATCTTATCTTGCTTGATGGCTTCATAAAAGCCAGCGAGCGAGCGGTCAATCGCTAGCCATGATTCATCAATAACCCATATACCGTACACCCCATACCTAACCATACAAAAGCCATTGAGATCTGAGATCGGAAAGAGATGTGTCTCTCTTTTGTAGTCTCGGTTTCTGTCTCACTTTTTTTTTATTATTTTTAGGTGGGTTTTGTTGGTCAATGACGCAGCATTTTGAAAGCATCTTCAAAGTGTCTTCTGTTTCTGTAGATATTTTTATATAACCCAAATACTCGTATTTGTGTTGGCTTGGGCAGAGGCAGAGGGCCTTTATGCAATACTTCTGGGGATGTGGAATGTCCCTTGCCTTCGTGTGTCAAACAAATATGAAATACGAGTATGTATATTGCAAATGCTTTTGCACTTGCCACAGCAATTAGCCAACTGTTTTATTTGTTTTTTTCTTTTTTTTTTGGCACTGTGAACACCTGTGGAACACAGTCGCAGGTCCAGGTCCAAAGGTGCGTGAAAAAAACCTCTTAAACAAAAAGGAAAGAAATTGCAATGTCATATGATTGCATTGGCTCCTCTCGAAGGCGGAGTCAGCCAACGGCAGAAAGTGAAAGGCATTCAGGCAGGAGGAACCAATCAACCGCTTCCGGCTGGTATTCCCACAGAAAAAGGCTAAGAGATGCTATCCTTTCCTTTCCCTTTTGCACCCAAATGCCAACTGCTTTGCTGCGGCTGCGCCAGAGTTTTGTTTGCAATTAGGAATAAATTAAAGCAATATTAACACTTCACACATGTGTATCTCTTGGGCTACACTTTGGGGCACGCAACACACTGCTGTACGCTCACGTAAGACCTTCAGGGGGCTCCCTTCAAGATGCCTGCACTGCATCCCATTTACACACCTTTTGTTGGCCTATTGTTTTAGCCCACACATGAGACAGTGTTTCGTGTGTGTGTGTGTGTGTCGGCTCTCAAATTGCAATTTAATTCGATGTCTTGAAGTGGCCTTTTGTCAAAAGTTTTGTCAGCTGTAGTCTTTTGTTGGGTGTCCACTGTCGAATGTCCGGTGTGTCTATCGCTCACTGTCAAGACCATCGTTCAATTAACATAATTAACTGACAAGGGGAATTAACGTGCGCCCCTTCGCTCTGTTAAGGCTGAAACAAGACACTTGTTGGGTCTACACAGTCGCACAATCGAATACAATCTCCCCCCGAAGCTGGCAGTGCGTTAATAATGGTTTCATTTGGATTACCTTACGCCTTACGACTATTAAAAGATTCAAAGCAAGGTCAGGTTCAGATTCAGATTCAGGCCCATAAAATCCACAAAATAACATTAAAATTCTTTCGAAATGTTTTAGTTCTTTGAGATGAAAGCCTAAAGATTAACTGGCAACTGAAATGGAAAGTTTCAAGAAAAGGGAAAGGCACCTGTAGGGCCGGCCAAGACTTCGACTTCGCCAAAGTCACGATATCTGCCAAAAAAAAAAAATACATACATATAAAAAAAACATTGACCGTAAAACGTTTTGCCAATGGAACAATGGAATGTTAACGTCTCTTATTTAATAATAAAAAAGGGAAACTAAAACCACTTGAAAGGTTTGCTCTGGGTTAAGGTTTGGCCGACAATGAATGGATGGATGCGCCATGGAATGGAATGGAATATTCGGCCTCCTAGGCAGCAACAGCATCAGCATCAGCAGCTGATGATATTCGTAGATCTGTGATAATTTATACACAATATTTGCATTTGTTCATCAAATTGAATTAACGCTGAATGCCGCCTCAGAGATAGACACACGAGACTCTAGAGTCAGAGTCAGAGCCAGTTTCAGTTTCTGTTTCAGCATCCGACTCTGAGCGAACAATTAATATCAATGCTTTGTGACCCACTTTCCGCGTTTGAGAGGGGGTTGAAGGGGAAGAG